CTTGGCTGCTCATAGATGTCGAGCATGAACAAATTAAAGGCTTGCAGGCAGGTCCTACCTATTGGGACCGCGAGCATGCTTCCAAGATATCCTTCTCTTCTGACAATGCAACTGAATGGTGGGGGTTATAGAGAATCGTTATTCTTCGGTCATCAACAGTTGAGTGTGCGCTGAGAACCCCAATTTCCCCTCTATAGTTTCCCCTCGTCTTATGCCTCCCTCGTAAGAAGTGCGGCATGTCTATGCATGACACTCGTTTTGGTCAGCACAGGCGTGGGATGAATGAAATAACGGTACAGTCGGTAAATGCTCAGTGGCTGGTCCGTAACGTGCAACGTTGTTTCTGTTGCTGGGCCGAGTTGATCGCGGCTGGCTCGGCTTCCAGAAGATGAGTGAAAAGGGTGGTTGGGCAGAAGATGATGAACTCTGAGTGGTTCATGGGGTGAGACATCGGGATATTCAGGCACGGATTTCTGCAGCAGCAAGGCTTTGGGATGGCTTGTCGATGTTTGGGAGAGCATGGAAGGGATTGCGGATTACGAAACGCATTGACAACGTCGTACGGTGGATGGAATCACGAAAGTGTCGCCATGGGCAAAATGCATGTGGTGAACGCGGCTGCGACACTCCAACTTCCGCGGACTTCGTTTCGTTGTTTTCCCCTCAGGGATGAATCATTCAAAACTCTCTTGTTGGGAATTTCGGTTCGTGTGGAAACGAGCTCAGCGGTCGGGTATATGCAGCTTATGTAACTACTTTTTCTTTCTGCGTCTCGCGCAGATGGCGAGAGGATGTGATTCAGTTGGTGATGGATGTGATTGATGGGGGAGGGGTTGAGGGATTCATCAAATGTGACTGTGACTGTGACATGGGTGAGTGGCGCCCGCAGTGGTACGGGACACGGTTGGGGGTGGACGCCGGGATTTGATGGGCTGGTAGGGCAGGGCGCGGATGGGGAGGAGAGATGCCGCGGGGAGGGTGAAGGCTCGCAGAGGGTGTTGCTTTTTTGTTTCTTGCAGTCTTTGGCAGAGCATTTTTGCGGATGCCCTGGGAGGGGTGATTGGAAGGGGATGTGTACGTTCGGCGTTTGGGTATTTAAAAAGGTAACAGACGGCGGAGAGACGGCTGTCGTTTTGGCGGCCACTTGATGAGGTCGTTCGGATCCGTGAGAGTGAGATTGCCCGCCGGTGTTGTGTAGGGCAACTGTGGGTCCCCGCTTCTGAGCTCCTCCAGCCTTTTAAGCTGCCGCGAGAACCCCAGCGCCCCGACGAAAGGGGGTCGAGCCGGCAAATCGCTTCTTCCTCGTTTGCCTGCCGGCGACAAAATCCCTAGGCTGCCCCACCCTTTGAAGCCGCTGCGGCATCTCTTCATCTCTTTGGGGCTCAAACGACCGCGCGCCGTCTTACTGCCGCTTGGGTAGGGGCATCTCGAAAGGTTTGGGGATTTGGGAGAGTGCGCACGCGTGCTGCTGCTGCCTTTCGCGTACGCGAAATGGACGCAGAGATGGCTTCGTTGCCAGCGGCGGCGCCTGATGGGCAAATGGTTCAGCAGCAGCATTCGCAGCATCCACAGCAACTTTCACCTCCATTGCCAGCTCAAAATGGCCAGCCCGCGGCTATCAAGAGACGATCGCCCATTGCCTGCCGCCGGTAATTCTCTCTCCACTCCCCATCCCCGTCGCCGGTAACTGAATCGCTGGGATTGAAAATGCAACATTCTGACATGGCGATGACGGCGTTAGGTGTCGGCGAATGCGAAGCAAATGTGTTCATGAAAAGGGCAAGTCGCCATGTCAAGCGTGCGCGGAAGCTGGTATTGGCCCCAATGAGTGGTATGTTGATCAGCCATCATGACCTCAAATTTCCACGTTTCCTCAGTGGTGCTGTGTTTCTCTCAACTTCTTGAAGACCTTTGCTCTCTCCGGCTGTGATCCACCATGCTAACTCAGCGTGCCAAGTGTCTTTCCGGTTCGCGGCCAGCCCGACCATGACCGTGACTATCGCCATCCTCGGATGAGGTCGGAGAAGAACAGCAAGCGTGACCCGACCAAGGTCCGCCGAGACATTCTTGATGCCCCTGTGGTCCGCTCACCGACGGCGCCGCTGCCTGGGCCGCAGCGACCGCCGAAAGGCACGGATGAGTGGGACTTGTTGCCGCCGCTGCACGAGGTGATCGATTCAGTAAACCGTTTCACGCGTCATTATTTCCAGTTGGGATTCATTCACAAGCCGTCCTTTCCCGAGCGGCTGAGGACGAACCACCGATCCGTGAGCGTCTTCCTACTGCTCAGCCTCCTGAGCGTCTCGGCGAGGTTGACACCCTCGCTGGTCGAGCGGTATGGGGGTACGGTAGGTGCCGCCGAGGTCTTCATGGAGCGCGCCTCACACTTGGCGCTCAGCGAGCTGTACAAAGAGCCCACTCTGGAGAGGTGCCAAGCTTTCTACCTGCTCAGCATCTCGCAGCAGGGAAGCGGCTTAAAGTACCAGAGCTCTATCAACTTTGGCATCGCGGTCAAGATCGCCACGATCCTGCGGTTGCACAGGGAGGAGACTTACAAGCTGCCGAACGCCATCCCGGAGGCTATCGTTGAGCTAGAATCAGCAAGGCGGACGCTGGTGAGTCTCTTTAACTTGTTTGCCTCCATCAGTCCAAAGGGGGGCGAACCGAGATGGTAGACTCTTGCTAACTCTGTCCAGTGGATGTTGCATAGCCAAGACAACCTGCACTCTGGACCAAATGCCCCAATATCGCTATCAGCAGGTGATATAACTACGCTGCTGCCTAGCAATGAGGCGGACTTTGCGCATGCGCGGATACCCATGACGAGAGCGGCCCTGGAAGATACACCTCCTGCAAAACTCAATCCAGACCTCACCCGCCTCAAAGACAAGTCCTTGTTTGCGACGCTGATTCAGTCGCATTACTACTGGGGAGCCATCTCTCGGAGAGCTGTTCACAATGAGAAGTGCCCCAACCCATGGGATGAGAATAGCGAGTACGCAACCATCAAGAAGCGGCTCATGGAATGGGAGAAAGATCTCCCAGGTGACCACCGCTGGAGCAAAGTACTCCTGAAGGGACACAAGCAGGATGGGCAGGACTTGGTGAGTTGCCGTGGTGCCTTTGAGGAAGGAGAGGACGCTGACCATTTCTAGGCCTACCTGGGCGTCACCATGGTCACACGGCTGTGTAATATTGTTATCAGGAAGGCCTACTTGTGGGAGTATGTTGTGGCATCAGGCCTTGCGCTTTGCTGCGGGAACTGAGTGCTAACTTATTTGCAGAATGGTGAACTATGACAGGTCGGATCCTATCTATATCAAGTGCTTCAAGCCGATGGCTAGGGAGCTTTTTGACAACGTCGAAAACCTGTATGAGCAGATCGAGACGCAGTACAACGACAGGACGGGTGAAGAGGGAATGGGAGGCCAGATGGCGGTTTGTAGCTGCAGCCCATTTCAACCTGCATCAGCTAGCTAACGGTACACAGGCGTTTATTATCTACAGCTGTGGCTTCCTCGCAGCCTACCTGTGCAAATACAAGAGTAAGTGTAACGTCTGATTCCAGTCCTCGGGAGTTTTCTAACGACTCCACAGTCGATGCCTCACGCTCAGTTATCAGCAAGGCCAGGACCATAGTGGGTCACATTCTCACGATTCTCGGCGAAAGCAAAGACATTTGGCCGCTGGCCTCGCGGTGGCATACCCATCTCGAAGAGTTTTACACGTCACGAAATGGCATGTCCAAGGAAGCTGAGGGCAGCATGGCCGACAGCGCAAGTTGCCCATGGCTCTGCTGAGAAGTTTGTCGGACTGACAAGTGCTGCAGAAAGATCCAATCCCCCATATCCTTCACCATCCACCACACGCTCAACCGCCTGCCAAGGCTTCGTCACCAGAGGAGAACGGCATTGCGAACTCACAGAGTCCCGACGGCAACATGCACGGCATCTCGCAGCAGCCAAACGCACCCGCTCAGTACATTGATCCCAATCTTCGGCTGCCCCCTCCACCACCGGCCCAGAGTCAGCCCGTTCAGTCGCCCATCCAGCAACAACAGCCCATGGCTCCTCCCCCTCCCCCTCCTCATATGCAAACCGCACAAGCCGTCCAGGCTCAAGCTCAAGCGCAACAGGCCATGAATGCCAGGCGGCCCTCTGATAATCTTAGCTTGCTCATTGAAGCCTTCGACACGCAAACGGCCGGAAGCGCCATTGGCACGCCGACAGGCCAACCACCGGGCCAGCAGCCGTACGATCCGCAAGTACCGCCGCAGCCTTACTATCACCCATCGACCCTTGGGCCCGACGGCTACGAGACCCAGCTCGCCTACTACCTCGAGGACACGGTGCCGACAACGGTTCCTGTTCCTACGGCAATGCCTGGCTGGGGTATGGGGAACGGCATGCCTATCTCGGGCCCCGGAATGTTTTATCAGTAATTCCCTCGTTAAGCGCGTGTTTTTGATGGCGTTAGTGGTGTTATGGCGACTGTGTCGGCGTTGAACCTCATCTGCTAGGTGTAGGGTCACTTTGGAGGCTCCGCCCAGGGGCTTGATGAGATTAGGTGGTACTTTGTGTGAGGTCGAGATTTGAATGGGTCTGTGACGATGCACCATATTGTGAAGGTTCTCACCAGATTGCCACAAATTTGAAGCAGCACTCAGGTAGCTTCAGGTACAGGTAGAAGAAAAGGGGAGGCAGCTCCATCCAGCAGCCTTGGACTACGTAGTCGACGGTAGAAGAAACGAGTTTGGCTATCCAAAGAACAGGATCCCGTTCTTCCAACGGAAGGGGCTTCGGCGGGATCTCACAACTGTCCATTTGAAGCCAGGCTTGTTGACAGCCTAAAGAGGCATGAACTGCTTCAAAACAAAGGGCAGGAGCTGGCAAGTTGGTGGCACTCTCCTTTACTGAAATCATTCCCGGAAAATTGAAAGCCGAAATCCGAAGATTCATATGCAAAAAATGAGGCAGAATATTGTCAAAAATAAAGGTGGATGCGGTTTATGTGGATCGAACACATGACCTTCAGATATCAATTAGATTGAATGAAGTGATGCTTCAGTCTGACGCTCTCCCAACTGAGCTAAACCCGCTTGTTGGAATTACAACACAGTTTTTACAATCAAGTCGGAACGACAGGCAACCGCACCATTCTTTCTTTCGCAATTCACCATCTGTCGTGGCTTTCTTCATTGATCACCAGCTGCAAGAGGGAAAAAAAGGGTGTGTGATTAATCCCTTCAAGTTTTTCTCAAATCGTCGTCTCACCGTTGCGACCAGCAAACGCCCACCGCCATTTACAAACAAGTGGGTCGTGCTCACATCGCTATATCGAGGTTCTAGCGAACGAAGGGTTGGCGCCGAGCTTTCGCCGCCCGCGTCTTCCGTCATAGGCCGCATTCGAGAGATTCGCTTTTTCTTGAACATCGGATTTGTCTCGACACGCCGCGATTTGCGATCCGCCACGCCCCGGACGCCAGACTCAACGATACAACCAGCTCCTTTCGAAGACGACACCGAGGCAGATACGAGTTGAGAAAATAGGAGGAAGGGCAGACATGTCGGTCACAGCCGTCGCCGGAAAGGGCGAGTCGGCGCAGAAGGTGTTGTCGCTGGTATGGAACCTGATGACCCTCGTACCGTCATGCTACCCTACTCGTCGGCAACGGCCGTCTTCACACGATCAGCGTTGCTAATCACTTGTCTTTGCGCCAACAGTACCGACAACTCCTCCGCCAGGGAAACCAGTTCGCCGCCTACAACTTTAGAGAGTACGCCAAGCGCCGCACAAGGGACGCATTCAGGGAGAATAAGAATGTCGAGGACCCGCGGCGGGTGCAGGAGCTGGTGCAGAAGGGGTTGAAGGATTTGCAGATGTTGAAGGTAAGGATGCTCTTGCGCGGGGATATGGGCTATGGCTGATTTAGGCTTTTGATGCAGAGACAAACGGTGATCAGCCAATTCTACCAGCAGGATAGGCTTGTCGTCGAAGGGGGGTTGTCGGTAGGTTGCCGCGCCAATTTATGGTGAGGAGGTGGTACTGACGTCCTCTAGGGCAAGGATAAGGGCGGGAAAGGAGGCACTTTGAGGCAGAAGGATACTGGGTAAGTTCAGTGGATTCTCACGTTGGGCCGGAAACTGACTTTGTGCAGCTGGGATTGAGACCGAGATGCTCAGCAGGAGGCGTGCCCAGCGGACGGCCAGAGACAGAGGAGATACGTGGGAATTTCTCTCACTACTATCCCGGTGTATTTGTAAGAAAGGCGAGAGAGGTTTGGGCGCATAGATCATATACCAAGGGCACATACGGCATTCAGGGGTGGCAGGCTAAGAGGTTGTGAAGAAGAGGGAGCCATCTGTACCTCACCGCTCATCAGATCTGGCCCCGCCACCAATGGCACTATAAATATCACAAGTGAGCCTACAAAGCTCATATTCAGAGCTTCAGGTCTTTAGAGGACCATGCCAACCTTTGAGACTGGTCTTCGTGCCTGGTGTTTGCTCCGATGTCACCGGCATATGCATTAAATGGATATCGCTATATGCGGTCCTGGCAGCCCACCCCAGCCCACCCCAGCCCAGCAGAGCAAACATCCTGTCGCGCGACGAGCTCCAACAGCGCGACCTATCCGGCAACTGTCCAATTGCCCACTTTTTGGTTGCTGGGTATTGCGATGATACAAAATATCAACGACATATATAAATAATAGCAGGTTTATTTTCAGCGATTGATACCTTTGGCATCGTTGCAAGGCCAAAGGCGCCAGGCGCCAACAACTGGCCATCCCGACGAAAAGCTCCAGGTCCTGACACTGTGCGACTCGCCCGCTGGGCAGGATCCTGAGCATCTCTCCTCCGCCTCCTGACCCAAGTGGACCAATTCCAGCACCAAAAGCTAGGACCGACATCCTCCCACAATGTCCAAGCAGTTCCGGACGGCGACACAGACCCGCCGCGGCGCTCGCGGTGGCTACCCCGAGCACGATGATTTCGAGGGTTTGCATCCCCCATCTTTGCGCAAAACTTGTCGCGCTCCTACAGTTGTCCGTTTTCTAACGCCACTTCGTGTTAGGCCTCCCCGTTCGACAATGGCGCCAAGAGAGGGTGAACGTTGCGCCGGTCGCGCCCCCCGACACGACTCAGCAGAACGACCGCTGGGCCCTTGAACTCCCGTACGGCATGCCGAAAGAGTACACATTGCTCCAGCCTCACACCCAAGAACTCCTCCGCGCCGCGAGATCCGGCCGCCTCTACAAGCGCCCCGCCCCGGTCGAGGACGATGATGCCGACGCCGATGCGGCCGACGCCAAGGGCGAGAAGAAGGAGCTGGATCCTGCTGCGGGCGGGTACACGGTCAAGGTGTGGAAGCAGTCGTCGCGGAACCAGGAGGATATCACGCATTTGGCGAAGCGTCATAGGAATACTGTCGTGTTGGCTTCCAGGGCACCTGCGCCGCAAATTGTGGGCCCGACGGCGCGCAGGGTGACTGTTCGCAAAACTGATGCCGCCGGTAATACGTATCAGCAGATGGTGATAGTGGCGGAGGGGCAGACAGTTGATGGGGATATCCTATCGGATAACGTCATTCCCGCGCCGGCCGCCTCGGGGCTGGATATGGCTGCGCAGCAGTCAACGACGCCCAGGAAAAAACCTGTGCCGCCTAAGCGGAAGGCAAAGGGTCCCGGTCGGGGACGGAAGAAGGGGAAGCTCCCTATTTCGGTGCCGTTGCCGCGACCTGAAGCAACCGGCGAGAGTGGAGCGGCTTCGGGGGATGTCAAGCCCGGGGCTGTCGGCCCTGATGTGAGTGCACAGCGCGTCGAGAGGGTTGGAATTTGTGCTGACGTAGAGAACAGGGTATCAAGATTGAGGAGGTTGACAGCAGCAAAAATCAGGATGCCGAGATGGCAGACGTATCCGTTATTCCTTCTGACGAAGAAGACGGCGACGACGGAGACGAAGGAGATGAAGACGGCGATGAGGGCGGTGACGACGAGAGTGGTCAAACTCCGGAGGTCGGGAGCAACGCCCAAGACCAGGACCAGGATCAGGAAATGGGCGACTCGGAGTCGTCTGAGGTCATCCGACCTACTTCGATTGAGGAGCCAGAGGATACTCCTCGCGTTCCGCTATCCGAGGAAGAGGACATCACGATCGCCAAACCTCGTTTTACTCCTCCAGCGGCTCTGGGTAGCCTCGGGCCATTGCAGCCCCCAGCACGCCTTGCATCGCCGAGGGTCGAGGGTAGCCCGCTAAAAAACGTCATTATTCAGTCGCCAACAGATGCCTCACCAATGATCTCGCCGCGGATGCCCTCTGCGACAGGCTCGTTTGCAACTTCCGGCTATATGGAGACGAGTATGTCGATGGATGTCAGCGGGTCAGAGGCTGTTGCTAGTGAGACTTTTGTTACCGAGATGACCACGTCCGCCACTGGTACAGTCACGGAAGAGTTCACCTCCACAACGATGGATTTTGCAGGGCCATCTGTTCCGGACAGCCGCTCGGGTGAGGTTGGAGACTTGGGCCGTATTGAGGAGTTGCCCACAATGATTGAAGGACCTGAAGCAGCCAACGAGGAGGAATCACCAGCGCAGAAAGTTGAAACCCCGGTTCCGACCTTGGAGATCTCCGAACCGCAGCCAGAGCCCCAAGCAGTAGCTCCTACGCCACCAAAAATGGAACCCGTCGAGAGCCAGCCCACCGTCCTCGAGCCCCCCAAGTCGCCAAATCTCCTACCAACTGTCACGGCGGACGAGGCTGATATTAACTTGCTCGGCCCCCTCGAAATGGAGCTTGATCGGCAGGAAAAGCTCAGCAGCGCAGCAAACAGCGTAACAGGGCCGAAGACACCAACGCCTCCTTTGCCAGCTGCTGCTGACCCTAGTGGCGCCCCCGCAGAACCTTTCGAGGCCGCAGACGCCACGGAGCCACCCTTGTAGTACGAGGAGGCAAAGTGGAAAGCGTGCAAGTCTATGTGACTACGGAGAGCGAATACGGTTTGGGGTTTAGAAAGGGGATGTTTTGGAGTTGGGGATGGGAGTTTGGGGTCTATTCAGGCAACGATGTTGGATTTCGATCGAGCGGGAAGCTCTACTGGGATTTTCCATAACAGGCAGCCAGGGAAAGGGGCGGAGGTTAAAAGCCTACATGTACTTCATAGAGGTTATGGTAGGATGCGTATCATTACACAAGATTGGCCATTACTCGGGGGTGTGATGTCATGACGTTTCGTCGACGGCCTTTTGTGAAGCCATCGAGGATTCCGTACACATCAATGTTGGTACTGCTATCCACAGGTAAGTCGTCCAGCTTCTCCTAGAAGGCATCTGCTTCACGAAGGTCTTCGTCCCATGAATATGGGAAAACTTGCCACCTCGCGCATAATCTTCCTCAAGGCCCACATGCACAAGATCAAGGGCAATCTCACGATGCAATATAGTGTCATCACTACTTACAAATCACTCCCTCACCCATTTCCGATGCTTGTCCCCCTCCACCCGAGGGGCCTCCACCCAAGGGGGCCAACGCCGGATTTAAGCTTTTAGTCTCTCATCCGCATCTGGAACAAGTCTAGAATGTCACTATCCCAGTCTTGAATATGGCACATGAGCTAGTCGTTCACATGTCATCGCAGCTGCTACTGCTACTGTCAGTGCTAGTCTCCCGCGCAAGCAGTTCATGATGTGAGTGGTACTCCAGTTTTTGACGGGTATGGCGACACGGTCGGGAGGGAATGGGGTGTGTCTGGGAAGCTCGGGACCGGAGGTGAGATTAGGTGGGTTGGACAGTGTGTACTGTGATCGTTGTTGGGTGTGGGACTGTGCTTGGGGGATGGGAGATCTTGTGGATGGGGTTGGGAGCCGAGGGGCGGTGTGGTTGGTGAGGGTCGATGTCAGGTTTGGATGGATATCGGGGGCTCGGTGGTTTTCCCCCGATCCGTGGCCTTTCGGATGTTGGATCATCCGATACTCAATGTTACATGACAAAAGAAAGCTCAACTTGCCCAACGCCTGGTCGATGGGCAAAAGGGTGCAAACCCCGTTGGTAGGATCTGAAACAAAGACGGACCTGGTTCAAAAATCTCCCCCGGACT